AATATATCAGTAGATGTTAACTTGTTGATCATGGCTATTAATGTAATGTTTTTACGATGATTTCTTTGAAACGTATCAGGCGTTTTTTAATTCAGGTTTTTTTCTGAGTCAATAATTGCTGTGTTGGATGATAGGGTCCAGACATTCATCAGAAGGTCTGGAGAGGAGTTCAAGTCTGAGTGTCTTAAGAAAACACTAAAAAACTTATTCTGTTGAAATACAAAGTCTTTATCAGTAAACCAGTCTCAAGTCTGAGACTGGTTTACTGATAAAGACTTTGTATTTCAACAGAATAATGCTCCTTGCTTTACCAGGAATTGGTTAATGACTTGGTTCCGAGACAACGACTTCTCTTTACTCAAATGGCCTGGGAATTATGAACGTAAAAAATGGCCAGATATGAACGCATTTGAGAATTTATGGGACATTTTGAAGGACGAAATATATAAATTTATTTTCGTCACGTTAGTGCTCCACCAAGCAATGATCGCATAACTTAAGTAGCAATGAATAAAAGAAAAGTAAATGTTTATTAAACAAGCTCGATTTAATAACTGCTTAGCTTTGTACATTATACCTAAATTTTTCGATATTTTATCTTCAACTACACCTATATGTTCCCTCCAGTTTACATTTTTGTCTAGAAACACGCCTAAAAACTTTATTGATTGTCACTTATCTTGTCTATTATATAAACGATATCTTATTTTATTTTTTTATATTCTTGTAAACATTTACTCAATTTTCTTTATATACTATTTTAGACGATGAGAACAAAATGAAAGAGCTTCTAACCAACGTTAAAATAATTCAGACAATATAATAAAATGTTTTCGCTTACGGTCAAAAGATACGAATAAACCTCCACAATAATATTGTTAAAGCAGCCCGGCGTAAATTTGAAAGCATCTATGTTAATCCAGATCTGACAGAAGCACAAAGAAGACAAAATAGGCAATTACGAGACGAGTTGAAAAAGAAAAACGAGCCTCTTATTTTAAAAAACAACTGGGCAAATTCAAGTCATTACTACGTTATTCGTAATAATGCTGTAGTTAAAGTAGACAAATAGCAATCAACAGTAAGTCGTTTAAAACCATATAATGACAATTTAAATATAAACGAAATTTTTTTAGAGCGTAAGTCATTTTCAACTATTAGTCTACGACAACAGTCAGCTTTCCATAAAATACCATGCTGTTATACCAATGCTACATACCTTAAGAATAAAATGCCAGAGTTTCTAGCATCAATTGAGACATACAACCCTAAAATAATCTTCGTTACAGAAACTTGGTGGCATGAATCATCGATAACTAACATTGAAAACTATGTTATTCAGAAAAGATCGCGTTTCCAGTCGAGGAGGTGGGGTGGCTACTTATGTCAACACTTCATTAAAACCTAGTGAAGTAAGCGAAATTGTTTTGTTAGATTCCCTTGAACAAATTTGGTGCGAAATATTGTACGGTTCCGAACACATCTTTCTGGGTTGCATATACAGGCCACACATGCTAGATCCACTCGAAAATATCGAACCGTCCATTATTAAAGCAAATGGACTTCTGTCTAAAATATACAGCGGCTTGTTGATTTGTGGAGACTTTAATTGCTAAGGATTAACTGGGATTCGAGCAGTACCCCAACTATCAGCAACACAGATATCCTTTCAAGTAATTTTATTGACATCCTTGCCGAGTTGTTTTTGATACAATTTGTTACTAAGCACACTTTTCAACTTGATAAAATTACATCGAACAACTCTCTTGATCTAATTATAGCCGAAAATGAAAATTGGGTCCTCGATATTATTCACCATGCACCTTTAACGTCTCTGAAGAAATCTCACCACGTCCTTCAATGGGATTACGTTGTTAAAAGCGCTGCAGTTGTAGGAAAACACATTGAAAAACGCATTTATCATAAAAGTAACTTTGTAAAGATATCCGAATATTTTAACAATATCAACTGCCAGATGGAAATTCAATTGACGCGATACTGATGACTGCTATAACATTTTCCTGAACCACTACGAGGCTGCATGCAAAACTTATGTCCGAGTGACTAAATCAAAATGGATTCGTCGTAGAAGCGAATGGATGAATGACGACATCAAGAATAAAATAAAAACTAAAAATAAACTATGGTTTCGATGTAGAGCGAATGGATATAAAAATCTTAAACTAGTCAACGAATACAATGCGTGTAATATTCAATTGAAGAAGCTCATATATAAAGCTCGTTGTGAGTTTGAACTTGATTTAGCGATAAAATCGAAGCACAACTCAAAGATTCTGTTCAAGTATGTTAATAGCAAACAAAATGTTAGAACTACAATAACAGCCTTAAAAGGAATCAATGGCGACACTATCACAAATTTAATAGAAATTGCAAATCGGCTGAACAATCATTTCAAAGTGTTTTCAACAAAAATGAAGACGATGAACTGCCATACTTTATAAAACGAACTGAAGCCATCTGCAAATACTCGCAAATAACGCAAGATCTGGTTAAAAACAAGCTGAGCGATTTATCATTTGATAAAACCGTTGGTTTGGATGGTGTAAGCGCATATGTACTGAAGAACTGTTCTGACAGCTTCTCAATACCTTTATGCGCAATTTTTCAGAAATCGCTAGATAGTGGGTGTTGTCCTGAAGTATGGAAAAAAGCTAATGTAACACCACTGTTTAAAAACGGAAGTAGACTCGACCCAGGCAATTACCGGCCTATATCCTTAACATCAGTTGTATGTAAAGTGATGGAGAAAATACTACGTGACACTATGGTCAATCATTTAGTCGAACATAGCCTTATTTCAAAAAATCAACATGGTTATGTCAATAAAAAAGCTTGTGTGACTAATTTGTTGGAATCGATTGACATGATGTCAAAAGCATTATCTGACAAGATATCTATGGACGTAGCTTTTATAGATTTCAATAAAGCATTTGATATGGTTCCCCACAAGTGACTATATTGCAAACTTGAGGCCTATGGTTTTGCTGGAAATCTCCTGAATTGAATAAAATCGTTTTTACACCAGCGTTTTGAACGAATCGTGATGGGCGATTATGTTTCGTTGTGGCTTGAGGTATTTAGTGGCGTCCCTCAAGGATCCGTATTAGGTCCAATACTTTTTATTATTTTTGTGAACGATATATTCGATACTGTTAACCATCCATGTAAAATGTATGCTGATGACACTAAACTGCTGGCTCGTTTAGACCACCCATTAGCTTCACAAATGCTTCAAACTGATATCTACAACATAGCCAATTGGTGTAAAACCTGGAAAATGAAACTTAATCTCGATAAATAAAAAATCATGCACATAGGTAAAAAAAACAACTTTTAAGTTTACTCAATGCCAGCTAATGACAATAACAGTGTCAAACTAGTATCGACTTTAGTCAAACGTGATTTAGGCATCATGATTACGCCAGACTTAAAATGGCATAACAATTCAACTTTTGCAACCAATAAAGCTAACGGTGTATTAGGCATGTGGTATCGTACTTTCAGTCACATAACTTTGTAAAAAATTATAAATTATAACATGGTGCTCGGCGAAAAGGCAAATTAATGCCTTCTTCTTGCTCCGGCAATTAACTTATATTGTAAATTTATGTAAACTGTAATACTTATTAAACGGTAAAATATAATGTTAAAAAAAAAAAAAAAAATAGTTTTTATTTTTGCCGCATTTTAATATATATCAAGATTGATGTCACCAACAATATAAACCGATTTATTTAAAGATGATTTTTTTTAATTATAGTTTATTTCGTTTATTCAATATTTTATAGATGACGCAATAATAAGGGTTTTTTTTGGTTAGACAAATGTTACATATCTTCCTTTCAGGTTTAAATGGGTCCGCCTTATCTCCCACGTATAAATAGGATTTGAAAATCCTTTTTTTTTTTAATTTCCTAGATATATTTAGAAAGTTCTGTGGTATTAGCTTTACTTTCTTATTGAAAGGAGTTTTTTTGTTTATACAACAACAACAATTGTGTTGGAAACATTAGATAATACTTTTTTATTGCGTGAATTAATAATTTTGGTGATGTTTGGAAGACAACTATAACTGACTTTTAAATTTTCCTTATAAAAATTTTGCAAAACTTAGGTGTTTTTAAAACATGCTTTTTAATTAGATTATATATACATATATAATAGAAAAAGTGACGGATCCAGGGGTCATGGGGTCTCCCCATGCCCCCTGGATTCGCCATCCCCCACCAGAATCTGAAAATCTTAAAATATCTTCGAAATTTAGGGCCTTTTTTTTTTAGGAGGCAAAAATGTGGTACTAATTAAAATAATATTTCAACTTCCCTCCCTTTCCTCCACAAAAATTCCTGTATCCATCACTGAAAAAAAGGTTTTTAGATGATTGTTTTGCTTTCGAGTTTATCTATCAGTTTTTTTTATTTATATTTTTGTCACTTTTTTTAGGAATACTTTTTAGTTCTTTAAGTTTAGAAATTGTATGTTTCGTAATATTTTACAAAAAACTTAAATATTGCATAATATTTTAAAATATTGCGTAATACTTTCCAAAAAAATTAAATATTGTGTAATATTTTCCAAAAAACTTAAATATTGCGTAATATTTTACAAAAAAACTTTAATACTGTGTAAAACAAACCCAAGCATTACAATTTAACGAGTGGAATTAAGAAAAATGGTCAAGTCCTAGTAAATTTGAATAAATTAGGAAAAAAGATCATTAAAAAAGCTAGTTAATTAAGCCAATTAAAATAATGTTGATACCAAATAATTGATAAATCATAACATATATTAATCAATCGGTCTTTTTTTTTTTTAATATTTTAAAAAAATATCTTAAAAAATTTGTGTTAACAAGAATGTCCAATGTAATTTGTTGCATGACTACCTCGTTTACCTTGAACGACCTGGCAGTGTGTTAAATATACTGCATTGTTTTGAATCTTAAGATTAGAATAATATTGTAATCAAAGAATAAATTGTTTACTTTTAAAACAATAGCTAAAGCATTTTGTTAAGATTTTCTTTGAAAAAGCTATAATGCTATTGATAAATGTGATTTTTAATAACCAAGTTAAATGTTTCAAAAAAATATAGAAGCCAGCGAGGTAAGAAATCTAATTTTTTTTCCTGAAAGTTTTTAATAGTAATTAAATCATTTACTTTACACATTATAACACGATAACAATAACATGAGTAAGAAAGCAATTAATCGATCTTATTTTAAAAACTTATTAAATCGGTCACTTACTAAGTGACCGATTTAATAAGTTTTTAAAAAAAGTTTTTTTTATGAAAAATCTGTTTTTAGATAAAGCTTACGTTGGCGTAGTTAATTTAAGCATCAGTTTATTATTTCCATAACGTTTGACTTTAAAACATTTTTAAAAGTGTTTTGCAACTTTTTTTTAACTTTGTAATTAAAAAAGTTAATCTAAAAATCTAAAAATTTCACGCCGCTTTCCTCAATAATGCCGTTTTTAATTTTAAATCTATAACCATTACAAGCATCGTTTATTTTTATCAACATACATACATAATAATAAATGAAATCAGAAAACTTGCACAATTTAATAGCTCTGAATGGTATTAGTTAAGAAGATGCTAGTCGGGTCTGGGTATAACGGGTCTAGATATAATAAGACCAATATCCAACCCGTTTGGTTGGGTAACGGGTCTAACGGGACTGAGTCTTGCAGGTTTTAGGTCCACACTAACAAAACCTAGACCCGGTTCAAACAGATCGGATTGGATCCATTAACACCCCTTTTAATAGTTTATGACAAAGCAAACTATTTGCCCCTGCTTTTGGATATATATATATTATATATATATATATATATATCCAAAAATTTATATATATATATATATATATATATATATATATATATATATATATATATATATATATATATATATATATATATATATATATATATATATATATATATATATATATATATATATATATATATATATTAACACCCCTTTTAATAGTTTATGACAAAGCAAACTATTCGGCCCTGCTTTTGAATATATATATATTATATATATATATATATATCCAAAAATTATATATATTATATATATATATATATATATATATATATATATATATATATATATATATATATATATATATATATATATATATATATATATATATATATATATATATATATATATATATATATACTAAAAACCTTGCAACCCCCAGAAATTTTTTTTTGTATATTATCAGAAGACTCTTCATTATTCCAAAAATGTAAAAAATATCTTTTTTTATCCGGGGCCTGCGGATAGATCACGTATTTTAGGCGAGTGCCCAGTAATTTTGTTGCTCAAGATAGATTTGTAATTAAAAAAGTTTTGTAATTAAAAAAAGCAAAAAACTGTTATTTTCAATATGATTACTTAAAGCCATGTGACATACTCAAAGTTCTATTATGTTAATTGTTGATAATCGTATCAAATAAGGATGACTTGCGAAACGTTTAGGAAATTGAGCTAACTCAGCTCCGTTTCGACCCTTAATTGCCCTTTTCTAGAACTACGTTTCTTTATATCATAAAAATTTTTTTTTTTAGTTCTATTATGAATTAGACCAAAATTATTCGACAGATTTCAAATTTCATCAAAAAAATTTCAATTCGTTTAAGATTTATGACAACAAGAATTTTAAAATTCATCACATTTACCGCCTGAAATAACTTTGATTGATCGTAACTTTTAAACAAGAAATATTTTTTCACATGGAACTTGATATCTGTCGATGAATTTCGATCTAGTTTAATATTAACACACACACACAAATTAAAAAATAAAAATTAAAAAGTTCCTTTTAGGAACCATACCCTAAGGGTGGGAATGGAGTGGTTAGGGATTGGAGGATCTTCACTTACATCACAAAATTGCGTAGAAAAAATCATGCCCGCGAGCATGTATTTTGAGTTACAAAAGTGAACTTGCAAACTGAACTATTAATTTTATTAACTACTTACTTCTATTGCTGTTTCTGTTATTACTTATATGAAAATTCAGTTATTAAAATTAAATATGCAAATAATAACAATTCGCTTACAGCTAGTATCGTCGCCAATTGTTAATAATAGAAATAATAACTCCTTACAGGCGTTGACGTAGGAACTGAAAACATGTTTTGGTCATTACATTGAAATTTAATTAATAGGATCGATGTATCATGCCAATATTATAAATGCATATCACAATAATATAAATGCATATCAATTTGAATTCAGCTGACATCTTGCAATCTAGTGTTAATGGTTTATTTTTTAATTTGTAAAGACTCCAATAGTCACATACTTGGTCTGGGCATTTACATTCGTAAGAATTCACCCATTTGTCGGAAAACTTGATTTGAATCCGCAGAATATTTTTTTATTTGCTTTTGTTTAGCCATACTTCACTCAATGGCTTTTCTTTTTATTTTATATTGCTCTCCTTCATCTCAAGGCTGCAATCTTTTTTATATAATTTCTGAACAAATTGACCAAGCCCCTTCTCTTTATTCTTCAACCAATATTATTGTTGTTGGTGACTTTAATGCTTATCATACTGAATGACTTAGTTCTAGTGTTAGTGACTCTGCAGGCGTTAAGGCCCACAACTTTTGCCTTTCTCAATCAACAAGTTATACAGTCAACTTTTCAACTCGCTTTCCAGGAAGTTCGAAACATTTATTTTCTCTGATCGACTTTTATCTTGTTTCTAATCCTAGTCAGTGCTCAGTTCCTCCACATACACCCTTAGGTACTTTTGATTATAGTTAAAACTATTATTACATTCTTCTTCATCACTAGAATCCCCCTACTATCGAATCTCCTACAACTGCCTTAAACCTGACTGGGGTTCTTACCGTGATTTTCTTCGTGATGGCCCTTGGGTAGAAATCTTTCGTCTTCCTGTTGACAAATGTGCTTCTTACATAACTTTGTGGATTCAGGCTGGCATGGAATCTTTTATTCCTTCTCGACAATTCCAGGTAAAGCCTCACTCTTCTCCATTGGTTTCCTCATATTGTGCTGCCGCAATTGCCAATCGAAACTATTACTTCCATATCTATCAGCAAAACAATTCTCCAGAAAACAGATGTCTGTTTATTACTGCTAGAAACCATTGTAAAAAGGTTTTATCTAATGCCAAAGCCCGTTATTCTCAGATCATGAAATCTCGTATTTCATCACAAAAACTAGGCTCTCGTGACTTCTGGAGAATCTTTATAGTATCAGTAATAAGGGCAAATCTGTAATTGCACCTCTCTTGTATGGTTCAGACTTTGTCACTTCACCGAAAGACAAAGCTGAGTTGTTTGCTAAGAACTTTTCATCAATATCATTTTTTGATTCCACTAGTTGCGTATTACCTGATATAGCCGACAAACAGGTGATCTATTGCTTGACATTTGTATCACTCCAATTTCTGTATCTAAAGTGATTTCCTGCTTAGACTCGTCTACAGCTGTAGTCCGGACAACATACCTGTTATAGTCTTGCTGAAGCGTTCTCCGGAACTGTCGTCTATTCTTTTAAAATTATTTAACAAGTTTTGTTTTAGTTTTTTTTTTTTTAGTAGTGTGTGTTTTGTTGTTTAATAAAATAAGTTTCATAAAAGTTTCACTTTAAAAAAAAAAGACAATTTAAAAAAGAGACTGGGACTCAAAGAAAATATGGGTGAGGGAATACCATTTCAATCTTTTCATAGAGTCCCTTAAAATAAGAAATATTGTCGAAACGTTCTAATAAGCTGCAGATAATAGTAAGATGTTAAAGTTCCAATTTGAATACTCAAGGATTTAAAATATATTAACCAAAACATGAATAAATAGGTGTACAACTGATTCTTTTAAAGAATAAAAAGTAAAACTATTTAGAAAAAACTCAACAGAATCATTATTTTTCCTCAAAATTAAAAATGTTTTATTTTGTTTGAAACTTAAATAAGTTTAATAATTTTACCATATCTTTTTTAGTACTTTCTTTTGCAAAATAGTTCCATATCTTAGGTCCTCGAAATGCTATTGAAAACTTTGTACATTTATTTAATTTCTTGGACACTTTAAAATAATTTTATTGATTTATTCTTAGAAAACTTTTATCATTTATAATTTTTTCGAACTTATAAATAAAATTAGCTGGAGCAAGGTTAAAACAAGTGCTTATCAGAGTTTGTTTTCTCGTCTAACTACCATCCCACTAGTCTTCTTCCTATCATAAGCAAGGTTTTTGAGTCTTTAATTAACAAACACTTAATCTATTATCTTGAATCGAATAGCTTGCTTTCTGAGTATCAATATGAATTTTGATCTTCTTGTTCTACTGGTGATTTGTTAACTGTAATAACCGATAGATTTTATCGTGCATTAGACTGATATCGAGAGGCTAAGACTATCGCTTTCGACATTTCTAAAGCTTTTGATAAAGTTTGGCAAGCTCATCTTCTCCATAAGCTTTCTTCTTACGGTGTATATGGTAACAAAAAAAGTTGTCCTCACTGGATAGCGCTCTTCTTCATTTCCTATAACTTCAGGGGTTCCTTAAGGTTGAATCTTCTGCCCTATACTTTTTTTGATTAACATTAAAAATCTTCCAGGAGTTCTCACATCTAAGGTGGCACTGTTCGCTCATGATACTTGCATTTATTCTTGTCTTGATAAGAACTTAACACTCTCTAATTGCTTGAAGGGGGCAATTAAGCTTCAAAAAGATTCTGCTACAGCATGGGCCTCTCAGTGGCTGGTGAATTTTTTTTTAGCTAATCATTATTGCAATTACCTAGATCTTCCTAGATATTTATGAACGTACTGTAATGTACTTGATGAATGAACGTACTGGAATGCACTTGATGTACTGTAATGCACTTGATGTACTGTAATGCACTTGATGTACTGTAATGTACTTGATGAATCTTCTACCCTTAATCTTCTAGGGTTAACTCTTACCACTGATCTTGCTTGGAAACCAAATATCAAATCAATTGCAAAATTAGCATCTGCTAATGTTGCATCTCTTTATTGTGCTCACCACTTTCTTACCCAAGATTCTATTCTTTATCTTTATAAATTTTAAAGCTGTTCTTGTATGGAATACTGTAGCCATGTATGGGGCCCCATATATGGCCCCGCCCTGGGGCGGATCTTTGAATGATGGTGCTTTTTTTGTTTAGACAAGGTGCAAAAACGCATTCTAAACATAGTTGGATATGGTCTTGCAGCCAACCTTCAATCATTATCACATAATTGTAATGCTCCTTCTCTTTCTTTTTTTTTCTATAAATACTATAATCTCTTGTACCATCTACTAAAATTCTTTCTCGTGTTACTCACACTGGTCTCAAAATAATAGCTATTATTTTGAGACCAGTGGTTACTCGTCATTCAATTCAATTCAAAAGTCTTATTCTTTTTCTGCGATTGTTCCTAGGCGCTATAGAAATTCTTATTTGTCCAATTTTTTCCTCAAATATCAGTCCTTTGGAAATTGCTTCCTTTATCTTGATTTCCTGATTTATATAATTTGCAATCTTTTAAGTTGTCTGTCTATCGTTATCTTGCTCTATAAACTTCATCTTTTCTCTTCCAGTAACTTCCAACTCTAATAGTTGTTGCTTGCATCCTTGTTGGAAGGAAAGATGTTGAAAAAAAAAAAAGATTATAAGTAATGAACTTTTGATAGATTAGATTTGATTAGATTTTCTACTTACTAGACTTGCTTAATGTAACATACTGGTTTCTATTTAATTAAATCAAAATTGTTTTTAAAATAAGGTTTTTGTTTTTATGTATAATTTTTGTGAAGAAAAGAAAGGGGTTTGAGAGCAGAGAAGTAAATTAGGGGCCCAGATTAAAATTTTGTTAGGAGGTCCATTTTTTGTCGCTCCTTATACACTACTGCTCCTTATGTCGCTACATTACTGCTCCAAAGATGTTCTGCTGCAGGACACTCGATTCTATCATGGCTCACGCAAACTGGCAAGGTGTTGTTAAAGAGGCATCTTAAAATTTTGAAGTATAATGCTGATGTAGATGAGATATTGGTAATGAAATCCACAGTATGCGCTTATTATTTATGCCAGCGGTCGTGAATCTACTATTTCTACTGTTTCTATTCATCATCTCTCCCACCACTAACCCAAGGCTTGCCTACATTTACCTAGGAGAAAAATTTTTAAGCTTATTGGAGCAATCTACTGCAGACCAGATTAGACTGCTAACCGGATGAGACTGCAAACCGGATGTGTCATTTGATCTTTCTACGACATTCAGTGACCCTGATAAGCACTTTTTAAATAGTTTTGAAAGTATAGATGACAGCTTCGGAGAACACTTCAGAAAGACTATATATGTTGTCCAGACCACAAATTGAAGAAGAGTCTAAGGAGGAAATCACTTTAGATACAGAAGCTGTAGTGATACGAATGTCAAGCAGTGGAACAACCTGTTTGTCAACTATATCAGGTAGGTTGTTATTAGTGAAATCAAGAGATGAGATTGATGATATGTTCTTAACAAGCAATTCAGTCTTTGGGTCAGGTGAGAAAATCAGAAACATGTAAGGGTGGAGAAATAACAGATTTTTCCCTTATTATAGACACTGGTAAAAATTCACCAGAAGTCTATGGAGCCTAATTTTTGAGATAAAATACAAGATTTGTAACCTGAGAATAACAGGCTTTGTCGTTGGACAAAACCTTTTAACTATGGTTTCTAGCAATAGTAAACAGAAGTCTGTTTTCTAAAGAGTTGTTTTAGCGACAGATATGGAAGTATTGATTACAATTGGAAGTTGCAGCAGCACAATGAGAGAAAAACCATGGAGAAGAGTGAGGCTTGACTTGGAATTGTTGAGAGGAAATAATAGGTTGCATGCCAGCCTGAATGCAAGAAGTTACATAAGAAGCATATTTGTCAGCAGGAAGACAAAAGATTTCTACAAAAGGGTCATCATAAAAAAAAATTACAAAAAGAGTTCCAGTCAGCTTTGAGGTAGTTGTAAAAGGTATGATGATAAGGTTGTTCTGATAATGAAGAAGATTGATATAATAGTTTTAGAGAGATCAAACCATGATTAAAAGCACCTTAGGGTGAATGTGGAGGAAATGAGCACTGAATAGGATTAGAAACAAGACATAGTTTAGTAGAAAAGGTAAATGATTTGGATTGTCTAAAAAGTGAGTTGGAAAGTTGACTATTTTTGTTAGGGATTAAGAGGGAAAAGTTGTGGGCCTTAGTGTCTGTAGAGTCACTGACATTAGAACCAAGCCATTCAGTGTAATAAGCATTTAAATCACCAACAACAATAATTTTGGCTGAAGGACAAAGAGTAAAAGCTTGGTCAATTTGATCAGAAATAACATTGAAAAGAGTGCAGTCTTAAGATGAAGGAGAGCAATATAGAACAAAAATGGTAGAGTGAAGTGGTGCTAAATGGAATCACATAAAAGTCTGAATAGTCTGTGGATTCAAATCTAGTGTCAAATCCCAATGTGAGAATTCTTATGAATAAAAATCCCAAAGCCAAATATGTGACTATTGGAGTATGATAAACATCAACGCTAATATCATAGGATGAGACAGCTGAGCTCAAATTAGTCTTACAAAGAACATGTAGATCTGGTGAGCTTTGCGAGAGACAATACTTAACAGAAGAAAGATTACTTCGAAGACCATGAATATTAATGAAGAATAGATTTAGGAAACTTGGTGATGGCGATGGTTTTTTGAGTTTTATAGTTTTTTATACTTTAGTCATCTTTTAAATTGCTTAAAGAACTTGACTTGAAGCACAGCCTCATTACTAATTATAAGCAATTAATAAATAATATTATTAGCAAATTCAAAGTGGCTAGTGAATTTTAACCTAACAAACAAAACCCGGTTATTTGCTGCTATCATTTATAATAATATTGTTGGTATTACTATATTGTTGAATAGCAGCACTCTTGCTAATTCATCTACTTTATGTCATCTCTGATTATCATTCACTACAGACCCCTCCTAGAAACCATATATACAATCCATCGCAAAATTTTCATCTGCAAATGTTATCTAATTGTTGTGCTTGCTGTTTCCTTACTTCTGATTCCATTCTCTACCTCTATAAATCTCATTTGTTCTTGCATATAATTCCGTTTTCATATTTAGACTAGTTATTCTAATGGTGCTCTTTCTCTTCAAGAGAAGATACAAAAAAATTTAAAATGTAGTTGGACCTGCTCTAGCTACCAAGCCTGTCGCTTCTTTCCTATAAGGTTTTTTCTCCTTTCCATAAGGTTACTTCTTCTGTTTTTTTCATATACTATAAACCATTATTCAAACAATGCTATCATCTCTTGTTCCACCAATCAAAAAAAAAGCAATCTTGTGAGTCATCATGTACCAATCTTATTCTTTTATTCTGTCTCATTATGTTTGTTAATCATGTTGTTTTTTTCCTCACTCATTAATACTATAGAATTTAACTTTAGTTGTGGTTGCTTAATAATTTAAATTGTATTTGCTTCCAGCCTTGCTGGGAGATATATATATACATATATATATATATATATATATATATATATATATATATATATATATATATATATATATATATATATATATATATATATATATGTATATATATATATATATATATATATATATATATATACATATATATCTCCCAGGATATATATATATATATATATATATATATATATATATATATCCAAATTGTATGTGTGCGTGTATACTTGCATGTGTGTGTGCATAAAATAATATATTATTACTATATTTTTTACTAAAAATTTGTTTGTTTTAGATATATATACAAACATGCTTACATACATATATATATATATATATATATATATATATATATATATATATATATATATATATATATATATATATATATATATATATATATATATATATATATATATATATATATGTATATATATATATATGTATATATATATATATATATATTTATATATATATATATACATATATATATATATATACATACATATATATATACATATATATATATATACATATATATATATATATATATATATATATATATATATATATATATATATATATATATATATATATATATATATATATATATATATGTATATATATATATATATATATATATATATATATATATATATATATATATATATATATATATATATATATATATATATATATGTATATATATATATATATATACATACATATAAATTTATAGGCATCAAAAATAATTACTTCATGCTGTGATCATGAAAACCTAAAAAAAAACAAGCGTGAAACATGGAGTAATAAGTCAGAGTTTATCTTGGCATCAGTGGGATTAGCTGTTGGCGTAGGAAATGTTTGGAGATTTCCTTATCTTTGTCAAAAAAACGGAGGAGGTAGTTTTTTTATTTATGTTGTTTTATAACTCAGATATTAACATATATTTATTCACAAAATTTTCCAAAAATAATTTGTTTAATATTTTGTCACAGAAGCAAAATAGAATTCCTTATTTTACTAAAATCTATAAGATAGAATAAAACAGAATAGAAGATCAGTATAATCAAATTATTTTTAAAAGTAATAAAAACCTTATTAATTTTCATCAACAATATTAATGAGGGTCCTGTAGCCCTAGTAAATTTATTATTGTTTTATTAAAAACCATTTTGACTCAACCACTCTGTAAGTTTCTCTAAGTTTTTTTTAAGTTTATTCTGTGTTTTGTTGGAGGTTTCTCCTTCAATTCACTCTAAGGTGTCATTTGCAAATATATTGATGTCATTCATATAGATTATGAAGAGGGGCCCAAGAACACTGCCCTGCGGAACTTCAACATCATACAATAGTTCATCTGACATATTTCTTTAATTCTAACTATTTGCATTTTACCATTCAGATAGTTAGATACCCAATAAGCATTTTACCTCTCACGTTTTGTTTTTTTAATTTATTAACTAAAGTCTTATGTTAATTGTTTCAAATGCCTTTTTGAGATCTAACATTATGGCTATTACAAATTTATTTACATTGATTAAAGATCTCTATTTTGAGACAATAGTTTAAATAACTGTTTAATAGTTAAATTACTTATATAAGATACATAACAGTCAATAAACTCATTTATCAAGTATTAATGAGTAGACCTATATACACATATCATAATAAGATACCTTAATAAACTTGTTTATATATCTCAATAATATTTTTGGTAACCACAATTTTCTGTCTTTAATAACTATTTCATAAATTCATTAATTTTATATCTTCTCTAACATTAAGTGTGCATCCTCGTGAAAGAACACTTGATGATAATACACTTCTTTTATAACAACCATTTATTTTAATTTATTTTAGTTAAGTTGTATCCTTTTTCTGTAATTGTTCTTTAGTGTTCAAAAAACTTTTATTTATATTGGTTATTTTCATATGCATTGTTGCTTTAAAATTCTTTTTTGTCCTTATGTTTTTCTGTGCAGCGGCCTTGTTTATCAAAGTTTGTGTTTCGGAATATAGAGTTGAGAGAGGTTTGTAACCACAACTAAAGTAGCGTCCTCGACTGAGGTGACTTTCATGGTTTTGAGAAGGTGCTTGCAGCATTGTTGGGTGAATTTTTTTGAAGAAATTTTTTTTTTTTATGTTTTAGTAGTAGTTTGAAAATAATTTATATTACAATACTTTCAGGTGCATTTTTGGTACCATATTTTGTAATGATGGTATTTCAAGGACTTCCTCTCTTTGTGATAGAGTTTGCAATTGGACAAAGAATGCAAAAAAGTGCTGTTTATTGCTGGAATAATATTCACCCTGCCTTGTTTGGGGTTGGAATCTCTTGTATGTTGGTATCTTTTGCTATGTGCTCTTATTACATTGTGATAATAACATGGTGTTTTTATTATCTTTTTATATCTTTTACAAGTGAGCTACCTTGGCAACAAAAATTTTGTTTAAAATACCAGAGTTATTTTAATTTGGAGTCTAATTTAACAGTGTTGAAAAGTCAAAATCAGTCTGATCCTAATATTTCAAATTTAACAAATTACTTGCAGCATCAATACAATGATTTTCCTGATTGTTGTGTTCGAGACTCAGCTCAATATTATTGGTATAACAATGTTTTGCAAGTTTCTTCAAATCTTCATTCAAGTGGTGTACTGAACTGGAGAATGTTTGGATGTTTATTGCTTGCATGGGTATTGGTATATATGTGTGTTCTAAAAGGAGTCAAGTCAAGTGGAAAGGTAAATTTATTATTGTTTAGTCATAAGTTTTATCAATAAATACACATAATCATACTAACACATATTGACAAACATACATATTGCTTGTAACAAAATGCTAATTGAGTTTAAGTTTTTTGACATTTAACTTTTTTATACTTATATTTATATATTTTGTATTATAAGGCTTGCATTTATAGAGTTAGGTAAAGAAGTACTCAATGCTGACTCTAGAGTTTTTACTTTAGTAGTTTTAACCCAAAAAAACGAGACTAATGCCTTACTTGTTAAAAATAGTTCTTGGAAATTCTTGGTTTTCCTAAAAACATTTTAAGGATTTTTTTAAAAAAATTATTTTATTAAGAAAGTTT